AGATAAATAATGAGGTTCCGAGTTTACATGTACGTAATGAGTACAGTATTTGTCAGTACAGTACAGTACAGTTACATGTACGTAATGAGTACAGTATTTGTCAGTACAGTACAGTTACATGTACGTAATGAGTACAGTAATTGCCAGTACAGTACAGTACAGTTACATGTACGTAATGAGTACAGTAATTGTCATGTATTTCTGAAATACTTTATATTTATCCCATAAGAGAGAAAATCGGCTATTATTAAGTCAACAGATTATAATACCATCTTGCTCATGGTATTAGAGTATTTAAAGGAAAAGGTTGAGAAATAAGAAAAAGTAAAGCTTTTAAGATTTCCTATTCCTTGCACGAGTAAGACCACGTATTTGATTTAGAAACGTCACGCCTTCTTTGCTACAACATACTTGATTACTTATGTTATCAGAATATTGTGACGCGTTTTATATAAATAACACACGCATGTGTGTTAGACATTGTTAAAGAAATATTTTACAATATGCATTTGATATTTTATATTAATGGAACATGTTGAGTTAAATCCGCCAGCAACGGTTTTTGTTGTTGTTGATCTGAGAAGGAAATATGGCACGTCAACTGACACACAACGTCTTGTCTCTAAATGCAGCAATTCCTAACAGCTTGCACATTTCATGACGGTCCTTATTATTTTCGGAAATATCCACGATAGAGGAAATGATGATGCTTCTAACACGAACGATCTCATAATTTCACCGAACTCGTATATCTAGACACGCTGGCCCCGGGGAGGGAGGGGGGGTAGAAAATCAATTCGACCCATGTAAACTACTTTATTTGTCTTTGACTAAACCTAGGAGCTAGGCTTATGTCGCATGTTATCAGTAAACTTGGCTGGTTTCCACATTTATAGCTCAACTGTGTGTGTCTGCTCTCGCATTATAAGACATTTCTTACACTCCTCTCACCCAACATTCACGCAGTCTCACATATTACACAACTATTTCTGTATAGTCAGTGAATGCACACACATACACATACATATATATGTATATAAATACATACATAGAGAGAGATACAGTTTGCTCACATATAAAGTGTATCGCTAGAATACACCGATTTTATCTTAATTTCACGCCCCAATTCTCGCTAAAACCTAGAGATAAAGTTAAGCAAAAATACTGTGCAGTTAAAAGTCCTGTAAATTCATTAAGTAAACGATAACTAAAATCTAGCAGTTTATTACTATAAGATGAGAGAAATTCCCTTCCTCAGCCATATAAACAAGCATCGAATACTGTGCAGTTAAAAGTCCTGTAAATTCATTAAGTAAACGATAACTAAAATCTAGCAGTTTATTACTATAAGATGAGAGAAATTCCCTTCCTCAGCCATATAAACAAGCATCGCTTCAAGCTTTACAGGAAAGCAAAACAAAATTAAGTTTTCAAATTATAAAGGTGTTTGTTGTTCTCAGGAATATTTCATTGGTGAACCACGGCATAACACAGTAATATCTCATTGGTGAACCACGGCATATCACAGAAATATCTCATTGGTGAAACACGGCATATCACAATTTTCACTAACAATGTGTATCAGGTGTAAAACACCTAATCAACTATAGAAGATTTTCTGCAAAACTAATTTCCCCATTTGCGTGAGTACTTAAACGTAGTATTTTCGGGCCCTCAGAAGCTTAATCAGAATAACACTATAGAAAGTTTATTAACCGGGCTGTGGTTAAAAAAAATTAATGTATTCGACATTCTATGCCTAATTTCACAATAAACAGCTTATTTTCTCATTATACATTATAAAACTCAATCACTTCATGTTTGTATAGAGATTGATAAACAGAAAGGA